TAACCCTTCCACCCTTCTCTACACTCTTTCCACCATCAACCGTAAAGACGGAATTTGAACCCTAAATTTAACCGTGGGAAAGACGCTAAAAAGCCCTCCATTGGCCAACACCCGTGTGCACTTGCCAAGTCAACTTAAGAGGGATAAACTTCTTTATAATGGATCATTAAAACACGATATGCCAAATGAATTTCACAGAATAAACTTCTAATAGAGTCATGCTAGTATTGCAAATGCTATAATCTTAAAAATTATACACAAATTCATGAAGTTTTGGCAATTTAAGAAATAATTAAAATTTGTGTGAGTATAAATTTCCATAAGAAATAGATACACTCAAAAATTTAAGATAGAAAATAAAAAATTACATTAAGATTGGAGGTGTTAAATTATATAAAAGTACAACTAATAATTGAGAGATGTGCATCAGCGCACGTGACTTTACTATTTGCTTTTCTTTGTAATGTAAGTAATACAACTTTTTATTCAGATTAAGAACCTCGTTGATGCTACATTTTTTTTGGTTTTTCTTTTAATGTTGACTTAATATTATTTGCTCAAAAAATATTTTTATACAGGAGGGTTTGTCTTTGATGTTATAATTTAAAATTTTTTCTTTCTTTCTTATGTTGAGTTAATATCATGGGCATATCGGATTTGGAAGAAACTAAAGTGATGTTCAAATTCTACTCCTAAAATCTAAACCAGGTAGTCATACCAAGACTAATTTGCTTCATCTTTCAAATGTGGAGGGACTCGTTTGTTTTATTTTAGAAGCGATGGACAAAAATAAATATTTTTTTTCCAATATATGAGATACGAAACAGTTCATATTTTTCATTATTTGGTATTTCAGCGTGTACACTAAAACTTACACGGTGGAATTATCTGTGTAGAGGCCTCCGATCCAAGTTACCCAAAGCCTAACAACAGAACCAGGAGAGACGCGCCGAAGCAGGGAGGCACGAGTTGACGAGCCTTTTTGGGTAAGAAAACAGAAATTCAGAGCGGGGGGCCAAACAGCCGCTGGGCAGGCATCCGATTTGCTTTCCGCTTTTCATTTTTTTTTTTTTTTTTTTTTATTATTGTTTCTCTTTTGGGCCGGTAAACACAGCGCTCCCACTCGTGCACCGGCGGCTAAAGTGACATATTAGTATGTGGCACAATATCCACCGGACACCTGTCCGCTTTGTTCTCCATATATAATTTGGGGCGTTTCTGTTCTTAGTGGGTGTTTGAGTCCTGGGAAACATATCTCTAAATTTAAAGTGCGCTCCAAAGTCCAAATCTAATAACCTATGCTTGTCTTATGCTAAACAACGAACACAACCATTAAAATAATCTCTGCATACTAAATAGAGATATGTTTTGCTTAAAATAGGGGATTTAGTGGGATCCTATAATTCCATGGAGCGTGACGTTGCGGAGGCCAATGATGTGTCCTAATATTGGTTTTATATGTCCAACCGTACGATCTGGTGGGCAGAGCATTTCGACTGTGACAGCGAAAGGTTGTGGCTTTGTGTATGTGTGGAAATGCAGGATTGGCAACCGGCCCATGAGCTGATTCACCTAATATATGGGACAACGATGTCAGATAAGTTAAAAATTATTATTAAGGAAACGTTTCTCCTGTTTTGGTTGGTAGATTATCGCGGACGAAGCTATTTAATTAGTTGTGTCGTTAGCCAAAACCGTCCTTACACATGTAATCGTCTTAATTTAGGTACTACCTTTAAAGTGGATTTAATATATATACACTTCTTGGTGCCGGTGGTGGGGTGGAGGAGGTCTCGAAATCAAATTTCTTACTTGCACTTGCACTTCCTTTTTTAAGTACTATTCAACCCATCACCCACCCCTAAATGACATCAACTTTGTGTTATTGTTTCTTTTTTTTTTGGATAACATATCGGATATCCATGAACGTCATTTACACATGAAGAATAACGGGCAATCATTAAAATTGAGTTCAGTTGCTAATTGTTTAAAACCCCTAGACAAATTGTCGAACAGAGAACAAATCCAAAATTCTTGTCGTACTATTCAAAGCACAAATTCTTGTTTAAAACTTTCTTCTCATGCCATTAATTTTAGTATATTGGAGTAAGCAAAGTATAGGTTAAATTACATATAATTCTTTTGTATTTTCATCTATTGCCACGTGACCCTCCCTAACGTTTCAATATATTCACTTCACCCCTTATCATCTCATGTAGAGTGAAAACTTGATAGAAAATAACCTATATAACGTTGTTAATTGAAATACCAATAGTATCTTTATTCAAATGGTAAATCAATCGATGAAGTTCATTACTTTAAGAGCTGATAAATTATGTGCTCCACAGAGACGCACATTGACAGCGAATTTGAGGAAAGGTCAGAGATACGATGAAAAGCCTAAAATTTGCGATGAGAAAAGTGGCCGTTTCATGAAAGGGACGCAAGGGAAACCAGATTTGTACAATAAACACAAGATTACGTTGTCTTTTCGGTCCCATAGCAACGACGGCATATTTTGTTGTTTTGTAGAATTTCAATTACTAAGAGTCCATCTAGATTGCTATTTTTTAAATTTTTATAAAAGATTTATTGTAGCGATTTTATGTGTACGAGGCAAAAAGAATTTTTGTAGAAAAATGTATTATAATAATTTCATATATATAAGATGAAAAAATGATTGAGAAATGTATAGGAGTCCATCTGGATTGCCATTTTTTTAGTTTTTTTTTAAAAAAAAATATATTGTAACGATTTTATGTATGTGAGGTAAAAAAAAAATTCATAGAAAAATGTACTAAAACGATTTCATGTATATAATATAAAAAGATGATTGAGAAATATATTTACGAAAAATGTTCAAATTTTTTGAAGAAAAATAGCAATCCAAACAAGAGGCTCTCAACACTTTCTTGTAGACCTCGCCACACGTTAAAATAGGGAGTTTAACACAAAAATTGTAGTAGAGGATCCAAAGACTTAGTCATCATCATTATTATTATAGGTCATGAGATGAAAGAAATAGATGAAGAATTAGAATTCACGACCTCTAATTTGGAAACTTTAATATTAACAACTTGATCAAGACCCCTTTGGTAGCCACTACCACATAACCATTAAAGTTAATTAAAGTCTTCCATCAAATTAGAAGAAAAGACACATTAATTGTCTGCAGAAAGAAATTCACAAGGTGACAAGATCATACATATACGTGAAAACAAAATTTCTATTTGAACTTTTAGAGCTACAACTTTTAGTCCAACCTTTATCGCAAATGCTCCTTTCACAGTTTCATGGTAACGACTTTGCTAAAGGCAAATAATCAAAAACAAGTATTTGGATAAGAAGGATAATTGTGGATGTGATAGAATACGAGGTAACATAAAGCAGCCCTTGGATTAGAAGCGAGAGCAGCTCCACAATTTCCTCTAGAATTTTTTCCCTTCCCAATCAACATACATACGTGGTAAAACCACCTAGTATTTATCACCTACGTCTTGGGTAGTGTCGTAAACTTATGTATGGCACTCGGTAAATTCTCAGCTTTCTTCAAGTACCCAATGGGGGATGAAACGAAGAGCATCCACAGAGCAACAATTGGTTAAACTAGAGATAAGAGATTCTCAGTTGGATGAAAGAGAGGAATCAAAGAAAAGACGTAAAATATAAACAAACAGGGCAACATTGACTGTAAATTAAAGTGCAGTTATGGTGGGAGCAGGGAGACGTTAAATTTCAACCCAAAGAAGTAGTAGAGAATGATGACAAAGCACCTTTCGGACAAAAAAGGGATGGGGAATCATTGAATGGTCAAGATCACCCTGAATATATGCATTGCAAAGTTGATGAAGAAATTATACGTTTCCAAATTTGTATTGAAAATCCAGTGACACATCACTTGTGAATTGTGACCTATGAGGAACCAGCAGTGCCCTTCTAGTTCTGGATCTAAATCTAATCCGCATTGATGCGTCCACCTATCTGCAGCAGCCAGCGGGAGGTTTTGTGATGCGTTGTATATAACACAGCATTTGTCAAGGGACGGGTGTGGGTTTGTGCGTGGCGTGGGTGCTGTTTTTTTTTTTTCTCCACTCAGTTGTGTTGTATATATCTTCTTCTCATCTTGGATGGTAATGAGACGGTATGGGTCTTTGCCATTTTCTGTCGTTTACCAATTGCCCTATGGCGGTCGTCTGGCTCTCCCTTCAAACTCTTGGAGTCATTCATCAAGTTTTACAGACGTCGTCTTCTTCCTGAGGATTACTTTCCCTTTCGCTGTCCCCAGCTGACCCTCCACGACACGCGCAGACAAAAATGAGGCTGTGAGGCCAGAAAATGACCGTTCAACAAGTTTTAGTTCTTTTGTACTTGGACAAATCTTTTCTTTACTACTGGTCAGTCTAGCATACAATTTGTTCAAAACACAAGTCTTTTCTTTTAGCATGGCGACTTGCATTTCTTTGCAAAAAAAAAAAAAAAAAAAACCAAAAAACAGAAAATGGGACAACAAAAATCTATTTTTCTTCTGTGGGAAACGGAAAACCTTAGTTTCTGGGCTTCACCAAGGGAGCTGTTTGCCAAATTTTAACACAAACAGGATTGCTGGAAATCTTATTGCACGGTTTCCAGCCATTGATTTATACTATCCTGGCTGGTGAATCCGCAAGTTTTCCAAGCACCTCAGCGTGCAAACAACAAATTCCAAACTCAAGTCGATGCCTATTCAATCAGATTGTTCTCTCATTCAAAATCTTCTCCACCATTTTGAATTTTCTAGCATTTGACTCTACACCATTAATGGTTTAGTCCCACACTTGAATCAAGTTGTTTTTTCGTTCGTAGCACCCCTGTTTAGTGCTTTGGATGACACTTGGATCCTCGGTTACATTTTTTTTAGTGCCAATGCAACGCCATCGTTAGAATTGCGCCAAGTGTCTTGTTGTCATTAGCACTTTAGTTTTTTATTAACTCAAATTGGTTCAAAGTTAACACAAATTTTCTTATTCTCTAAAATTCGGAACCAAAAGGCACCCGGCCGGTCTAACTCCAGCATCAATAATTTTGTACAGCTGCTGTTTTGGGGAAAAAGAATAAGAAAACCCTCTGTTTCGCAGCATCTCGGCCGAGAGACAGGTTTGAAACAGGAAAACAGCATTGCCCATAACATTCCCTAAGAACCACCTGTGAACATCCCAGTACACTTCCACCGGCAGTCCATCCACCAAAATAGTCTGGTTCCCCCTGAACTTCCACCGCAGCCGCTTCACCTGCAACACCGCTCTGCTATCCACGCTGATGGCCAGAGATGGATCGTTAATCCCCCCAGTATCGCACTCAATTTCGATGTCATGTATCGGCCCGTGGTCACAGAATTGAGCCTTTGTAGTGTATACTCTCTTCCCAAAGATGTGCTCTCTTTTGGCAATAAACACCGTATTAGATTCAACAGGGCTAGGACCTATTTTCTTATACACTTCCTTTTGCAAATCCCCGAGGAGCAGGACAAGTTCTTGGTTAAATGCAACAGCTAAATAGAACCCCTCTAGCGGTTCCGGGCCAAAACCAAATTTTGCGGATGAAAAATCCCAATATATGTCAATTGCAGTGGAATTGGCCTCTGAACTTCTGAACCCTTTTCTTGGAGTAAATAACCAAGGCTTAATATCAACCTTGCAGACGCATTCATTGGTTGAACTCCGAATCCCAATGCTAACTCCTTGCCCCATCAAATTCTTGGACCAAAGAAATCTGAAACCAACTGATGCGGCGGATCCACGACACAAAGCTCTTGGGCTAATGGTTTACTGGAACACCATCGATCAAGCCACAAATGAAGGCAATCATCGGAAACAGAGGGTTTTCTTATTCTTTTTCCCCAAAGCAGCAGCGGTATAAAATTATCGATGCAGGAGTTAGACCGGCCGGGTGCCTTTTGGTTTAGAGTTTTAGAGAATAAGAAAATTTGTGTTAATTTTGAACCAATTTGAGTTAATAAAAAATTAAAATGCTAATGACAACAAGACACTTGACACAATTCTAGTGGTGGCATTGGGTTGGCACTAAAAAAAATGTAACCGAGGATCCCAAGTGTAATGTAACCGAGGATCCCAAGTGTTTGGATGATGGGTCGGATGGAGATCGAACCCTGTGGCCTCCTTGCAATTTGATCTAGCTGATTCCTCATCTTTTTGTTATATATAACCCGTTGATTTATAGATTTGTGTTTTGCCGAATTAATGGTCTCCTTAAAGAACTTCAATATTTGTGTAAATATTTCCCTGTAGATTCATCATGAGGGATGAAAACAAGTTGCCATAATCTCTCTTCTGAAAAACTACTTTTGCTATCCATAGGGACAAGTGAGATACGGTGCTTGCGGTCAAAGTTCGTTACTTCTGTGAGTCTAGAAATAACATACGGATATCTAGCGATTACCTCATGCACTCAAATGAAAATACACTTTAGGTTGAGTTGTAGTTTTATCTTAGGAGTCGGGATGTAATAACATGGCAAACTCCAAGGAACGGTACCCATTATATGCACACAAAGCAGATGACAGGCATTCTCGTACCGTCACCCATACAACATAACCAACAATTGGGGTGAAAATTTTCACCAGCACAAGCCCAATCCAAAGTTTCTTACAATATCTTTCAACATGCTGAGACTTCTGAGGCTCCAAGATACACTGCCAATAGTTGCATAACCCGTCCCATATAGCTATTGGCAGCATTTCGATTGAACATCTAATTACTGCATTTCTGCATCGTTTGATGAGCCTTCCATAATCCGCTCGGTAAGTCTGTACATCTAGTAGTATTGTCCCCCGGAAGTAGATCTCAAAGCAACCAACCTAAAATTTGCAGACCAGGTAGGACCAAGAAGTCATAGTATCACCAATTTGAGGCTAACTCTGTATAAGTGGTAGTTTCTGTCGAATCTCAACAGTTGACTCAATGACCAGAAGGAAATAAGAAAACCTCGTGGTCTTTAAGATGCTTTTGAAATTCTACCAAGCGATTTTGCAATTGCAGAATTCCAGCAGCCTTCTGGGATAGAATGGCATTCAGTCTAGAAATATAGTCATCAAGCTGATTACCGGGTTCATGAACTTCAACTAATAGACTCATCTCCTGCATAGAGAAACACAGTAAACAAGAGATGCAGCTTAATACTTAACTGTATTTTAAAACTTATTGTACGCAGATAGGCAAAAAGCACTGAATAACCAACCTCCTTGACAATTTCCATAGTTTCCTCAACTTGTTTTCTATGAGCATTGATAAGATCTCCCTCTTCCTGACATCAAACAAGTAGAATTTTAACTTAGCAGTTGTTATTTTATCTTTTGACAAGTAAACCAAGATCAAATATTGCTTTTACCTTTAACAAAGCAGTAAGATCATCTTCTGCGATCAAGCTACTTGGCTCAAGTTCAGATGGGTCCCCATACTTTACGTTTCCAGTCTTATCATCTATATTTCGTAGCTGATGGCTATCCAATTTTGGATTTATAGACCAAGATGCATGGTCAGAGATCCCTTTAGAGCCATCAAAATTATCTTCATTTGTGTGAACCAGACTACTCCATTGGGCTCGTCCACTAGGAACACGATCAATACTTGGACCAAATTGCTTGTGATTCTCTATATGCACTGTGGCAGCCAAATTGCTCTGTGCTTGACCACTAGGAACACGCTCAATGTTGGAAGATAGTGAGGATTCCCTTTCTTGTTGTTTAGGCCATCCAAGTTTGCTGAGCTCTTGGTTCTGCAGCCCACCAAATACATTATCCTCAGGGCCTGACACAACTTGACTGATTGAGGACAAAGGCACTGGAGTTGAACTACGAAGATTTAATGTGGACAGCGGTTCCCTCTTTGAGCTGTTCCCCTTAGATAGACTCTTAACCCTGATATGCAATTGAACCTTAGACCTTTCTAAAGCAAAGTACATTTTAACTTCATGAAACTTCTCTTACATGATGGCTTTACCTGTCAGCATATCTTAGAGTGTTCAGAGTATGTTCACATGACCCTGAATTTGGTGAAACGCAGGATATCATCACTGTACGGGAGTCACCAACAAATGAATCTCTCAGAACTTCAGTCAGTTTACTCCCCCTGAATGGAATGTGACCCTGGTCATTGTCAAGAGCTCTAATGCATTCTTTTAGAGCAAGTAAGCTCTTGTTAATTTCAGCACCTTCCATTCTGCAAAAGAAGGTAAGATTCAGTGATCCTCAAATAAGTTGACAATTTCTTGCAATTCTTACTCATACACATAGCAGATCTATCTAATCTAATGCTACCTAGTTTGTTTGTCATTATCAGTTGTATCAGCCCCACGTTCGCTTCCAGCAAGATCAATGAAAGATAGCTTGCCAACTAGTCGAGCTGGTTTTGAATCATTGTCATCAACCTTTCTTTTGATGGCGAGCTGAAGTATGGCATGCGAACGGGAGGATTCCTCATTTGCACCAGTGGTTCCAGTACTCCTTGTTGCATTTCCTTTCTCAATCAACTCCCTGACTGTCTCCACAGTGGATACCTTGTATTCTTGCAAACCTACAATACAGACCTGCTGCTTCCCGTCCTCCCTCATGCATAGCTTGCTGACACAAAGAAAGTTTCTCTTTAATGAAAAGCAAATTTAGTAAAACCTCTGCCTAGTCAAAATGTTATACAAAGTCAGAGGCTCACTTTCTATCATTTAGCAGGTCAAAAACCTTGCCTCCATATATCTCAAAGAAACTGACAAAAAGTTGAAATCCTTGATTTCGATAATTGTTTTGCATTGACTTCAGTATATCCTGAGAAGCTTTCAGCGGCAATGGCTGCATAGTGTAAGTCTTCCCACTGCCTGAGAAAAGCTCATGAACAACTTAACCTCAGCAATTAAACATGACCAATGAGCTGAAAGATTGAAAAGACCCAAAAACAGGACGGTTTGATAAAATATATGCTTATCTAAGAAACCAAGGTTGACCAAATAAAGAGCTGAATCAGCATCCTTAGCCAACACAGCAGCATAAACTATCACGTTTAACTGAACAAAGAGTTTATGTAAGTACAATATATTCAGCTAAACTTACATGTTTAACAGAACAAAGAGTTCATGTAAGAGTAGCTACAATATCAATACATCAGATCTCTGAACACCAAATATCAGGCTTTGGTTCTTACTCTTCTGCTTGATGAGAAAAGGCTTTGGCAAAACATTGAGGAACATTCCATGCTGGCAACCGGAGTAAATTTTTAATATCTTCAAGACAAACTTATCCAATATTGCCAAAGATATAATTATCAAAGGCATAATTATCTTAAGAATAAAAAGCTGAGGTCATTAAAACAAGAAACAGTTAATCTTCACTTTGAAAAGTGCAACGCTGTTTTAGTTTCAATATATAGAATGATAACTTGTTAGAGGGAGATCAAAAATCGTTCTTCAGAATCTGCGGGACATTTTAAAATTTAAGGATCTCCTGTGGAGTCTAGTTAATGATATATGCGTCAAAATAACTTTCTATGTTAAGTCATGTTATAGACACAAGCCAAGGAACTGCACTTCCAAAAAATTTGGAAAAAAAAAAAGAGTCAACTACTTGCCTGTTTGGCCGTACGCAAAGCAAGTTGCTTTTGTTCTTTGAAATATAATTGGGACTATGGGCTCAACAGTTTCAGCATAAACCTGTCACATTAAGAAAGGTCATTAACAGATTTACTTTTTAGAAGAGATAATAAGTCCTGTGAAGTACTCACCTCATCATTAGAGACTTCCTCATTCATCACAGCGTCAAAAAGAAATTCATGCTTCTCAACATACTCAGTCAGGTCAACCTGCCAAATGAGGTAACGAGAATTCCAGGAACTAAGATCGAGAAGACAGCAGCATTTACGAGAGGAAGGCTAACATCTGAACAGGTAAACTTGTGCAAGAAAATAGCTGTAGCAAAGACGAGCCAACAGAAACTTACTTTGAGCTTTGTCTCATAGACAGTGAGTGAATTAGCATTTGGATCTATTGTTATGATGTCTTCTTCTTTCTTTGCAATTTCTTTTTTATTGAGCGGCCTCTTACGCACCTGCATTTGCAGTTGCAATTTTTCACTGGTACTATAAGTCAAAGTATGGGACCCAAATAAAGCTATATTGTAAACTTAGCCACAATTACATAAAGTCCTCTAAATGTAATCTCTCAACTAGAAAAGACCAGGTTACGAGCTTCTTTCAAAGAAAGAAAAAGAAGAAGGGCATACCACAACTTTGATCTTAGCAACATTATTAGCTTTCTCTTTATCTGCGGAGAAGCTTTTGAGAAGATCATTATCAGATAAACCTCGAGGATTCTTACTATATTTAGCTGAGATGCACGGCCTAGAATCATCAAAACTTCTACCACAAAGGGGTTGATTGAGTAAAGATCCATCATTCTGGGAAGGAAACTGCAAAGTAGAGATTGCTAATATGTTAAAACCCACGAAATGTCAAATTACAAGTAAGCCATGGCTCTGATGCAAATTTAATTTCCGACATAGAACTTGTCACATTCGTCTACCATTATGTCATACAGAACTTGTAATAGCTCTCAAGAACACAATAACTTTTAGGATTCCAAAAGGTAGAATTCCTAATTTATGCTTCTCAGCAGCATAGACAAAAAACAGCCCGCATCAGTTCACATAGACTTCATCCACTGGACAAGTTCATTCATAAATGACAGGCAAGATAAGAACATGAGGGGCTTGAAAGAAGAAAAGTTTACAAACCTCAGGTATAAGTTCTGTATCGAATGAATGCAAATCAAGCAATCCAGGGCTGAGTTCACCTGGCAACACTTCAACTCCATTTCCATTCTTCCTCATGCTAGATGACCTGGAAGAAGCCGTGGGAGAGGATGGGTCCTCATCTCCTCCTCCACCACTTACACCTCTCTGCCCATTCTTTCCCCATTTTGAACCCTGGCCTCCCCCATTAGCGCCAAAAAACCCAAAATCCTGCAACATTACCAATTCAAATGCCAGCATTTAGGAATTACCAATTAACAAGGGGAGGGGTCAGAAGGGGATGGTGACAGGAAGAATCAAACGCCAGTCGCAAGATGATGAAAAGAGACCCCGAACTACAGGGCTATAGTCAGATTCTCGAGATGAGGGAGTTGCATGACACAAACATAACTATATAAATAAGTGATGATAGTCGGCTTGAGTAAAAACTGCTCAGAGTGCGGCAATTTATGCATATGAAAAACAAATGCAAGTATAATTGCAATCATCAACCTTAAGGAAAAGGAAAAGGAGTATGGTATCGACGTCGATAAAAAAAAAAAAAAAGGAACAATGTTTAACCTGAAGAGGAGGAATGGAGGAATTGGAGGAGTGAAGATGATGAAGACCAACTGACCGAAGCCATTTGTTGTTGAAGGCAGTATCAATGAAGTTGTCGGAGTACTGACGCTGGTGGTGACCTCCGGTTGAACTAGATCTCTGCATTTGCCTCCCCACCACGTTCATCTTCTTGCGGATTCTCAGCTGCTGCTTCTTCACTGATCGAGTCGATTAGAATGGTTTTCTTTGCTTGAGTATTTCTCTATTGGGCTTTGACTGCAATAAGAAAACGGTAAGGTGAGGCAGGAAAACTGATTTTCAAGAGAAGTGGAGAACAGAAGCGTTAATGTCGGTCCTGCAAAGCAAAGGAGGGGCCGAGGGGAGGGGGGCAGGGTGGAAGACAGAGAGAGAGCTTTGGATGAAAAAGGAGAAACAAATTGGAGATTGGAGATGGCGGTGGTAGTTGAAAAGACAGAAAATTTGTTCAAGAGCAGCCTGGCTACTCATGTGAAAGCGTGAAAGAAAGAACAGGTGGAATCAAAGATGGAAGAGAGGAGGTTACTGGTTAGGCGTGCTGGGATGGAGGTGTTAAGGCCAAGAGGGGGTTCACAATTCAGTTTGGAGGCTTTTTTGAAAGGAAGGTATCATCATTGAAATTGAGTAGCTTTGAAACTTTTGAAAACAAAGACCGGGCGCTTCTCTCCCTCTCTCTCTCTTTCAATGGAGGAGACTGGGGACACCTGGGACCCTGGCCATGTATCGAGAAATCGCTTCTTTTTTCTTTTTTCTTTTTCCAGTCAGTTTGGATGCTAACGTGTTTGGATTATAATTTTCTGAAAATTTTGAAGAATATATACTAACGATCTAACAATATATATGAAATAAAAAATAATTAAAAAAAGGAAGAAAAAAAAATTTTTTTTTAATGAAAAATCCCCTTCCAAGCGAGGTTGTAATAGTAGCAGTGGTATCTGGTACGTAAATTTGGTTGTACACTTGTACTATGACACTTACTGGTGGTAGGAGGAGCGTCTAATTTGACTTTAAAGCAAATGGAAGACCATAGCAATTCGCGCGCCTGCACAACACACCCCCGCCCCCCTCGCTCTCTCTCCAACCCATACAAAAAAACATATATAGACTATCTTACGTATCTACACTTGACCTTCGCCAAAACAAAATTTTTTTTCTTAAAAAAAAAAACAAATTGCTCATCATATTGCTTAGGGTTAATTTCAGAAACCTCCCTCAAAGTTTCTGACAATTTTACCTAGTACCCTCGAGATTTTCAATATTATACATATCTCTTTTGATCGTACAAAATGACCATAACAATCTTAACATATATAATCCCCTCGTGGTGTTAACAATCTTTTCATGCAATTAAACAATTCACTCCTAATCTTGTTCATATGAATGCATCACACAAATAGGCATTTAATAGAAATAAAAATAAAATCCCCTCGTGGAATAATTGATCATGTTCTAAACACAATAATAATATATTAAAATTAATTTTAGCTTTACTTGGAGGATCTGAAGATGCATAGAAAATTATGTAAATTGAGTTTAAAAAGGATAGAACTGGTATTGATACTCAAATAGTTGAGGGATAGGATGCTATATTGATGTGGTTATTAAAAAAATTTTAGTTTAACATTACAAATTTTTTAAATTTCGATTGAGGTTTTAGAATTTAGAAATTGTTGAGGTTTTACAACTGCATAGCTTTTGAATAATTTTATAAAAAAAAAAAGATAAAATAAACTTCACAATTTTATGAGGGCATTTTGGGTTATTCGTTCAAAATTTTGATCATTAAATAGTTTTTGTTACGGAAACGATAAACTCGGGAGAGGTATAAGTAATTTTTCAAACCTCAAGAGAACTAGGTAAAATTGTTAAAAATCTCAAGGGAAGTTTTTGAAATTATGCCTAATGCTTATTCTATTCCCGACGGTGGTGCAGTGGGTTGTACATCAAAGTCCAACGATTTTTTTTTTTAATTATTTCTCAAAATTCTGAGGAGCAAATTCTAGTAATCAGGTCTTGCAGGAGATTGGAATAAATACACTTGACAACAATTCCCGTTTGATTAGGAATTTTTGTATAAAAATATACGACAACGATTTAATATATGTAAAGTAAAAATATGTTATAATTTCATTTACTTGCCCGAAGATCGGTCAATTTTAACACGTTACTCTGCTTTCTTAATCGCCGCCACTGTTACCATTTTTTCCCTCTAATCTTTCGAGATTATATTTTATAGCACTGGAGTAGTGAAAGTATCGTATAGCGCTAAAATAAGTAAGTCAAAGAGATGTAGATCATACACAATATGCATTCAAGAGTCAATAGACTTTAACCAACAACTAATTCATGCTAATTGCAGAGAAAGTGCACCATATTTTAATTGCACAGCAAGTGCTTCACCCGAAGTGAATGAAATGCCAATTTTGTTTCTTTCTCCTCACATCGATGAGTTTTTTTCTTCTTCTTTTGAAGAATAAAGATGAAGCAAGAGGAAAACGGAAAAGAAAAAGATAGAAGCGAAAAAAAAAAAAACTACAAAACACAGTGCACGAAGTGGAAATTAAAAGAGATGGTTCAGAGTACGCGTTGAAGCACGCTTAAACTTTAATCCACACATACACAATCGAAATGACCAATTGACATTCAACCTACATCACATGGACGTTTTAACTAATACTGGATGATACACTTCTTGCCTCTACCGCGTGGACTTGTGCCCCAAGTCTCAACCATTAATTATCAACGGAGATTCATTTATTTATTTCTTGCTGCGTACAGATTAAGAGACCAAAGCACAGGCTATACAGTAAAAATTTTGTGCATGAGCGGTTAAAATTTCTAAAAAAGCGAGCCTTTAACATAGTATATAAGTTTGAAATGATGACCCCCTCCCCACTTCACCTTTGTGTGATCTACTAGTTAAATGAATAAGTTGACAGAGAGAGTGTTTTTACTTTTTATTGGCATTGAACTGGACTGCATTGCAATTAAATTATTGAAATGTTGCTCGTCAAATGCTGAACTTGTATTTTAAAGTTCAAATGTTTTTAATCTTCTTTTCTTTTCTTTTTTTTTTTTGGCTGCCATTCAATTGATCAAATGTGGGAAAACCAAGTTATAAAAGCTCCATTATGGAGGCAATGGAATGATTTTGAGGCACGGTAGTGATTTCTGGCAGATGTGAATCGCATAAAAAATATGTGGCTCATACAATTGAAATATTTTTTTCTTATTTTTTTTTTGTCAAAAAATTTGAAATACATACAGATACAATCATTGAAAACGAATAGCATGTAATCTTTTACTACCCATTTTTTCGTCGAAGTTTCCTACTTGATGCCGGTAAAAAACAATTTTAGAACAGTTGAAGTTCGAATTTTCTTTTTTGAAGGTTAGTTCCAAATTTCGGCTGGCCTCAAAAATATCATCATGGGCTCGATTTTGCCCCAAGTATTGCAATTACTACTTTGTTTTCAAAATTCTCAACGGACTTCGACCAGATTTATAGTCAGATTAAGCACATTATCGTATAAAAATTAGGGATTACCTGGCACATAATATTTTTGATTGGAAACCCGAAATAAGCAAATTATTTATTAGTTATATTTATTCTCTTGCAACAACAGAGTTGAGATGGCCGAGTTGGTCTAAGGCGCCAGATTAAGGTTCTGGTCCGAAAGGGCGTGGGTTCAAATCCCACTCTCAACAAACTTTTTATAGCAGTTGCTTTCTTTTTCTCCTTGGATTGGATTGGATTGGACTGGACATCTGAGTTCTGACCTTCATTTTCGTTTGGGTCCACATGCATAGTTGAGATGGCCGAGTTGGTCTAAGGCGCCAGATTAAGGTTCTGGTCCGAAAGGGCGTGGGTTCAAATCCCACTCTCAACAAACTTTTTATAGCAGTTGCTTTCTTTTTCTCCTTGGATTGGATTGGACTGGACATCTGACCTTCATTTTCGTTTGGGTCCACATGCATAGGTGAGATGGCCGAGTTGGTCTAAGGCGCCAGATTAAGGTTCTGGTCCGAAAGGGCGTGGGTTCAAATCCCACTCTCAACAAAACATATATTAATGTTGTTTTCTTTTTCCCCTTGGATTGGATTGGATTGGACTGGACATTTGGCTCTCATTTTCGTTTGGGTCCAAATGCACCGTGTCGCTCTTTTTGGGTTTAAATTTCGGGCAAACCGCGCGCTTTTCACCTTCGCATTCCCCTCTCAGCAGTTTGCGGTTTTACTTTTACACCCTTTCCTCTTCAATCATCTTCTATGGCATTGGTAATTGCCAGAAAGATCAAACCTTACCCATAGGAAACAATAAGCAGGGAAGGACTCATTCCAAAAAAAAAATCGAGAAAAGGAATGGCACAGGTACAAGCAGCAAGACTCAATCTCCGGATGCAGAAAGAGCTCAAGTTACTCCTCACCGACCCACCTCCCGGCGCCTCTTTCCCTTCCCTCTCCTCCTCCTCCGCCCCTTCTCTTACATCCATCGATGCCCGTAAGTCTTCCGCAATTATGTCTTTATGCATACTATCATTGCTACTTTCACTTGCATCTACGTTTGCATTGATCCACTTAACATGGTGTATTTGTACAGAGATTGAAGGCCCAGAAGGGACTGTTTATGCTAAAGGGGTCTTTAGGTTAAAGATTCAAATACCTGATAGGTATTACTTTTCTTACTTTTATCCCCCTTCTTTTTGGTGGATTGTGATATTCTTTCTCTTTTATATATGGATAAATTCCGTCACCGGCGATAATTTAGATTGAGACTATTCCTTGTCGTGCCTAGGTACCCATTTCAGCCTCCTATGGTGACCTTTGCCACCCCAATATATCATCCCAACATTGACAACGGAGGCCGCATTTGCCTGGATATCCTCAATCTTCCTCCCAAGGTTTTTCCAGTTTTATTTGCATCCCTCAGTTCTTTAAAGATATCTCAATTCTCGACTTCTGCATAGAGTTCTAAAAATTGAAATGATGCCAGAATGCGTGGGTCACAAAAACTGGACACCAATTTTATAGCCCTATTCATTTCTTAATGCTTAATTTTCTCGTTCTATGTCGGAATAATTCATTTCCTCAAAAAGCACTCAAACGTATTGTTTCATTAGGTTGATCAATGTTTGCATCCAAAGGTTCCTCAGGCACAATCATGGAGATGTCCAAATTATAGCACCTGACTTTTTGTGTATTATCACCAGTTGACAATATTCTCATGTTTCCTCACATCATTTTAACTACAACTTGAGGAATAGCATCTTAAAAAAAGGCAATATGTATTATCTGGCTCTTCGGGAGGGATCTTTGTTAGCGGCCTAATTGATGATACTAGATGCTTCTTAGACCCTGCCCTCTGTTTGCTGACTTTGGTGGACCATGTGCCCTTAGTTTTCTCTCCTACAGGCAGATTATTGAAAAGCATTATAGTTTAATTTGCTTGGCTGGTGATGTGGCTTTCAATTTTGCAGGGTGCATGGCAACCATCTCTGAACATCTCAACTGTCTTAACAAGCATCGGGTTGTTATTGAGTGAACCAAATCCTGATGATGGCCTGATGCATGAAGCTGTGAGTAATCACACTTTCAATTGCTGTGGAAAATGCTCGTTGTGAGCAGGTTACCTAGTTCTGTAATTTGTTCTGATTAACGTACAGAGCCAGGAGTACAAATATAATAGACAAGCTTTTGATCAGAAGGCAAGATCCTTGACTGAAAAGTATACCAGGATTGGTGAAAGTGAAATTGCTGGTAGAGGGCAAGGTTCTCAGGCTGTCCTGAAGCCAAGCATCCAACTAGTAAGTTTTCTGCTCTAGCATCTCCATATCTGTGAGTTTCTGATTAGGTACTCATACACGCTTTATGCAGGCAGAAGTTAATGAAGGAATGGATACATCAGTCAAGGAAAAAAGAGTTGACGAGTATGAAGTCGGGCACAAGAGATTATGTGGAATCAGCAGGAAGTTGTCATTGGAGTCTTCAGAGTTAGATCAAAGAAGTAATGAAGGAAAGGGTGTAAATCAGGCCCCAAGTAGCCATCTCCATGAAAAACTGCTGGAACTTAAAGGATTGAAAAAAGATTCAATGATAACATCCAATGATCATAACCAAACTCATCAAGAGCCACCTAGAACGAGGAAGAAACTGTCACTCGAACCTTCTGTTGTGAAGCATGATAATCACGTGATCCGTGTGGTGTCAAATGAGTGTTCAGCCACTTCAGAATGCAAAAGCTTGATAACATCTTCTTCGAAATCTGGGCCCTTGGAGCAGCCTGATTTGTATTCTCAGAATAAAAATAAAGATGGTGATGGTATTTCAAAAAGTAACAGCACAGAAACCAAGTTGGAGAAGAAGCCATTCCTAGAGTCTCTTGACTCAAACCAAGGAACTGGGGATGATGATGAGAAGCTACTTTCTGTTCCTCAGCAGTCTGACATTCAGTTTCACTCTCGTGAGTTGCACAAAAACTTTGGATTGGCCCAAACGATTAAACATGATGGCAGAGAACAACATGGTCAAATTGTTAATGGAGATGCTAATGACTTCACCAGGATAAAACAAAGGAAGCTAGGTTTGGCCGGCAGGAAGTCTGCTCTCTGGAAGTTAAGTTCGTATCAAGGTCAGCAAAAGGATAACATAGAGAACCTGGACCCAAATTCAAGCTTCAACATTGCATGGGAGAGCAAGAATCGTACAATATCCTCCAGTTTGTCAGAGGCATCAGAAACTGGTCATTGTAATGAGAGGGGCATGGAGAACCACACCACATACTTACCTAACAAGTTGTCCAGGACAGTGCAGGGACAGCCATTGAAACCTCTTGGTGACTCGAGCATTAATATCAATAACCAGTTTGAAATGCAGTCTTTGAGACCATCTAAGATTCCTTCTGAGCAACCTGAGAGCTGCTATGATGAGAAGCAGCAGCTTGAGCGACCCAAGCAAGATTGTAGAGCAATGTTCTTGGGGGAGATGAATAAACAGGAAGAAACTTCTCCATCATGTAACGCATATTCAGTGATTGTGTTAGATAGCGAGGATAGTGATGAGGAGCAGGGCAGAGTTGCTAAATCTAGGCTATCAATAGCACGGAGGCGCTTTTTAGGGAAGTCAAAACCATAAGTCCAAAGGCTGACAAACGATTGCTGTTCCTATTTTAGCTGGTGTAATTGCTCATGTTGCCTTGCACCTTCTAGCTTGTAATGCCTATTAAAGTTTTTCAAATTTTCTCTTGCCATGATTCCCAATCGGTAATATATCTCAGCTAACTTACTCTGACTTTCAGCACTTGTGGGAAAATCCTGTGCACTTCCATCTTGGAGCCATCCACAGCATAACTGACATTCGTACTTCCTGCCAGTTCCCTTGTTCAAGGGCAACTACCATTTGTAATTCGCATTTACTGGCCTTAATATGCTTTTCGCGGTATTACAGCATTACTTTTCCAATGCCTTGAATAGCTTCATCTGTCAGCATTTACTAAGGCAAAGCATGGACCGGTAGGTCTGAATGTCCGCTGAAAACCCATTTGAACAGAATAAAATCCATCAAACACCAAACTCTATACTTAGTTTTGGCGCTGTTCCTTACTATGGTATGCTTGCTTTTTCACTCTACTCCTCAATCATCAGAATTAACGTCTAGTCGTCCTTTTCCTGTAGATTAGTATCTGCTCTCCTGACGGATAAAAGTTTGTGCTTTTAAAATTTCTAATTTGAAACTTTTTTGCTCCTTACTGCAGTTTCTTGCAGCGCTGATGTTCCGGTCGCTGGTTAGACTCGTGAAATCATTGGTGGCGCAGCCGGCCGCTTCAATTACAACCATGCTCTATTACGGCGATCTTCTTCCTGAGAACGACTCGCTGAATAGATTGGTTAGGCAAGAGTTGTTTGACCGTGACAATCTTCTGTTTAATGTACTAATTAATTTCTTGAGATGTTTGGCGTAACCGGATTGTCGATGGTAGTAGTATTTCCACCTTCTCTAGCTTCACAAATCCTTCTTTTTTGCTTTTAGTCTCTCATGCTTTGTGAGAATAAAATAAATCCCGGGAAGGGAACTGGGACACTACTGATTTTACAAGTCGCATCAGTTATTCTGCCCGCCGCTTTCCTGGGGGTTCAATGTGAAAATTGGTTACTTAGGTTGCATCTATTTTGTTAGTTCATAATTATATTTTTATCTTTTTGAGATATTTTGAGCCCACAATGTATTCTTCTAATTAGTAGCGTGTAAACTGTAAAGCTCCATCTGATAATTTCGAGTGCTTCCCGAATTTCATCCGTCTATTTGCCAGCAGAAGACGAAGGAAAGCAGGTTCTCTGTGTTTATTTCAGAAAAAGTTTTAACTACTCTGCATTCTGTTAGTTCTGCTAGGACCTCCGTTTTCTAGTTCGTTTGTGCATTCACACTCTTTTGAGCCTCCTGGATTCAAATGCAAATGCAAATGCAAATGCTGCTGTACGGATTCAAATGCGAAGATGGTAAATTAATTATTAGGTTTAATTTTAGCTAGAGGTTAATGATCCACGTCCTCGTGTAACAATACTACTGTCCTTCTAATGAATCAAGTAGGGGTCAAGAATTCCTGATTTTCCCGCAAGGTTTTTGGATCAAGAACCCTTAGCACTTGCACGAACTTCATTCTTTCGAACGAAGAAAAAATGGCACGCGTTCTATTTATGTCAATGCTTCTCATTTCTCTGTCTACTCCTATCAGCCTGTAGCGGGCTCAACGCCAATGGAACAGCAGCGGGTAAATGTATGTAGATTAATTTATGATAAGTGGATTGAGTTCCGCATACACATTGGTGTTAGATTATTACCTAACCAACCAACCAGTTTTGTCAGAGTCTTCGCATCTAATCATAAGCATAGCCAAAGTTTTGGGACAAAGGGTGAGAAGGTATACCTAACTGGACGCTTCCCAACTGAAGTCAGTTGCTAGTAATATCCATTATTGAACCATTCCATTTCAGTTAGTGGTTCAGTCAAAAATAAAACCATTTGTTTAAGAAATTTTTGTCTTTTCGGTCTGGTTGAAAGGGAATTATTCTACTTTGAGCATGGAACATAAAATGAACAACACTTCACAAACAATTCGGATGTGGTAATATTCCGTTTGGATGCTATAATTTGAAAAAAAAAAAAAAAGAATTTCAAATGTTATTATGTTCGTATTATTAATGTAATTTTTATTTTATATATATTACATCGCAAAAAAAAAATGCTATAATGTCATTTTAAATCATTTTTTCCCAAATAATCTCCCCTGGACAATCAAGAATGAAATTTTGGACTTGGCAAAAAGACGAAGCACCCAAACAGTTGTATTCGAGTATGGTGCATTTTGTTTGCTCTAGTGGCCCTCCTTTTTCTCATTATGTTCAAATTCTTTGTATTGCCACTATCCCTTTACAGTGTTTTTATGGTTTGAGTTAAAAAAAAAAAATTATGTCAGCTTAGGGAAAAAAAAGTTACATCAACTTTCACAAGCAAAACAATTTCCTATAGTATTAAAAAAAATCAAATTAGTTTGTCAATTCTCTGTTTTTTTCCTTTGTCATAAATCTAAGATAACCAACACATTTCACGATTTTATACATTTTCGTCTTTATCAAGTTCAATTGTTTAAAGTTCAAACTAGGATATTTATTGAAATCTTCTCCCTTTATATTTTACTTTTCGAAAAGAATTCTACTATATTTATTTGACAACGAGTCGTGGGATGAGACAAGGCGGGGATGTGATAAGGGATAAGAGAAATTATTTGACAATGGAACGGGGGTAGGGGATTTTTCTTCCACCTCAACTCTGTTTCATTGCCACCCTTAAAAATATCTCTATGAAAATGATATAAGGAAATGTGAAATAGATTCAGACTCGGTTTGAATTGCTATTTTAAAAATTTTTGTAGAAAAATATACCATAACATTTTTTGAGATAAAAAGAGTTGATTGAGAAATGTGCATCCAAACTCTCTCTATATGAATTTTCTTCTTAAAAAAAAGAGAAACAGAAATAGAATAATAACGGAAACATGAGAATTTGAAATGGGTTGACTCTCTTGACCACGTTGTCATGCGGAAAAAGCCATCCGTCCATCATCCAGCATCCATGTGACTTTCCCTCGCTGTCCTGCCCCACCCGACTCACTACCATTACTCTTTTCTTATGCTCTCTGTTGAGGTAAAAAACACAAAACGAAGAACGACGGAGAGGAATTTTTTTTAAAAAAAAGTTCACTTTTTCATACAGCTACTAATACTACTGACTACTGAACGATAATGGCGGATCTGCTTACTACTATTACTACTTGATTTTCCTTATACGTTAAAACTCAAAAACCGCTGGTTCTTCTATTGCACCTATTCAGTTTAAATACTGCTGCCAATTGCTAAATCACTTCTCATTTCCCATTCTCAGAAAAAAAAAGTTGAAATTAATCTTATAATCGATTTGAAGATGCTTGACGGTTTACTAAACCGTGGCTTCAGCTCCAAATGGTATGTGTTCCCTTACCTTCAATCCGATCTCTATCAGTATTCATAGCAATGAGCTGAGGTTTCAGAAAATGTTATATGTTTTTATAGGTGACGTTTATCGATTTTTTATTAATGCGCGTTTTAGTTAAGTATTTTTTATTTGTTTTTTTTTTCTTTTTGTGTGTGAAGTAAATCGCTAATGAAGGCAACTCGGACGAGGATCGAAGTGGTGAGGAAGAGAGCGGAGGCGAAGCAGAGGTTTTTGAAGGAGGATCTTGCCAACCTGCTTGCTAACGGTCTCGATATCAATGCCTATGGACGGGTAATACTTTTTTGTACCTTTTATTCTCATGTTTACTTATTTTCGTAATAGCATAAATTTGGTTGATTATTTTTTCTTTCATTGGAACTTCATTTGTTGTTTGATCAAGCATTAGTTTGAAAGATGATTTATGAATTTGGAGGAGGGATTAGTTGATGTTGGAAATCTGAAATTGCTCTTTGTTTATTATCAGGGTATATTCAGATTGACTTGTAAATTTTTTTTTTTTGGTTCTCTTGGAGTCAATTAAAAAATTTGAATTTCTTGCGGTTACGTTGTAAAATTTGTGCAGTGTCTATTGTTTTGGCCGCATCCTTGTTTTTGAAGAACGAAATTAGGATATCAGGATTCAATTTTGTTTCACCTTTCTTAGAAAAACATGCAATTTGTGGTTTCTTTTCTTTTGGTGGATTGTTTCTGTATTAGGTTCAGTTAAATTGATTGTGTGTGATAAATTGTATCTAAAACACAATATGAAGGCTGCTAATCGAAGTAAACACTTGACTTGTGTGATGTAATCAGATGAAGTTGCCAAGTCGTGGCTAAATAGGTACAGTTTAGTTGCTTACTGGAAAGCATGCCTCTTGTATGGTTTCCTTAGCCGCATAATGCGAGTCCTGATCTAATGAGGATGATTCTGCTGCTCCAAGGACGAAGCTGTGAAATTAAGTACTGCTCATAAAATATGTCAATTTTGAGATTTAAAGGGATGATGTGCAGATGCTTTGCTCTGCCAACAAGCTAACATGGGGGGCATACCTCATTTACAATGCAATCAATGCAATAGACTAATGATAACCAGTTATTTAGTAGCTCAATGTTGCCAAAGTTATGCAAACAAGTGGACCAAGATCTTGAAACTACTTAGCTATACATGTCAGCATTGCATACAATCCAACATTGTTTGTTTTTGCCCACAAGGGTAGACCTATGCATGAATTGGGAAATCTAGCAAATGGTTTATCCATCTGTACATTCAAAACTTGTACTTCTTGCAAGTTTTTCATGATATTCAAGAATTTCAATTGTGTTGCTGCTTACCATATTAATTCATGCTTTACTGCATAATCTGAAAGGAGATGGATCGGTTAATTATATGACGCAAGTACACTGGCATTCAACTTGAAATTTTTTTGGTGGATACTGTCCCATTCTAAAAGTCACACTGCATGCTTAAGTATTGTGTTCAAATTTAGAAAGGGATATTGTTACTTCTTGAAGTGGTTTTTGTCAGAGTTTATTACTTCAACAAGCAGTGCCTCTACCAAGGATTGATGTATAATGAATTTTTGCATGTGAGATTATGGTGAAATGAAGTAAGGAGTAACAGATATTTATCCCCGTTATCCAGTAGTTCAATTTTCTAGAGCAACAATCCAAGTTTCTCATCTGAATTTCATGTCACAACTCTTCCAATAATCCTTTAATTATGGTTATCTGGTAAATTAGAGTTAGAGATTGCATTTGTATCTAATGGGTTGATCTGATTGCTGTCTTTCTTGCAACTTGGGCACAGTGAATCCATTTGTTATTGCATGAATTAGTGAACTTCTAAGCATATCTCTTACAAACAACTGATCTTTTCTTATACCATGCAGAGTATATAGTAAAATCAGTTGGTTATGGGTCTGATGTATCATCAGATATTTCCCAGTTACTTAAAATGAGTTGACACAAGTGTTTTCCTTTTGATGAGATGATACAGACAGAAGAATTTCTTGCTGGACTCAACCTTTTGTCCTGTTATGATTTCATTGAATACACGTGCGAATATATTCTGAAGCAGCTTTTGAGCATGCAAAAGCAAAGGTATCAGCTAAACTTCTCTGCCCTAAGCATGCAAAAGAAACTGTGCTACAATCTGCAGTTTTTGTCATATGAACGAGAGCTTGAAATTCACTAGAATTTATTGCAGTTCCTGCTGTCTTTACAAATTGGATGTTGTCTTTGATATAGTATGTGCATTTGCTTGGTTTTGTAGCTTACATCTTAAATTTAAAAGAAAAATCCATTGTGTTGGGGATATATGATCACAGGCTAGAATATTATGGGCAGCTATAAAGTGCAGCAGCAGAGATTTTATAATTTAGTGCTAGGATTTGATTTTGATCAGGCTGTATATGCACTCATCAATGTTCTGGCAAAACTTTCCTGCTGCAACTTTGCATAGATTAGAGTTACGCAAAAGAAACAAACATGCCAATGCGCTTTCGTTGATACATGATTTGCACTTCATGCGCACTTACTTTAATGGTATCATCTCGTGTCATTTAACTGGTACTTAGGTGGTACAGAAGTGTCCTTTTCTTGTATTAGGATTAAGAGGAATATTGCTTTTTCTCTCTTTGATAGGAAGTTACCAGGAATGATTAGGATCTCTGGTCTCCTATTCTTGGAAGATGCTTCTTTTTAATGCTTTGTAATTTGCTAATGCTGTGAATTGTTCTCATTTCCTAATCACCGGATGACTCATTTGATTGCTTCTGAAGCTCACTAGTGGGACCAATCTTTAGTTTGGTTAAAGCTTTATAATTTGAATGACACAAATAGATGGTTTTATACTTTACAGTGAGGAGAAGAAAAGAAAGTTGAAAGTACATAATGAGGCAATGGCCCATAGGCAATATTTTGGCAGAAGAAAGATGCATTATCACCTTAATGGGCTTCTCATTTAAGTTGATATAACGTGGTTGCAGCAGTCATTGAACCAATTCACAGTATTTAGGAGGACTATATATGTACTTGATTAGCTAAACAAAACATCCTAGCCAATTGAGCACAGACCAATTTTAAGTGCCAGATGGATTAAGGCAGAGTTTCAAAATAAAAACAATAGTGCATGTATACTCATTTGGTACAAAAAAGGTCAGTGACTTGGTGAAAACTCCATACTACTTTTTTGTTAAACGTTAAAATCATAATTTCAGGATCACCTTCAGAAATGTAGTTTGTTAGTAAAAATGTCGTATGTGGTGATATGTCTTTTCCTGGAGCTTCTGCATTTATTACATCTTATTCAAGGTCAAAACATCCTAGCTTTGTGTCCTGGTCAAGCTTAAAATTCTCTATACATTCTTCCCATTGAGATACCTGAACACAGTAGCATTTGTTTGATACGGACCATTTGATGGAGATGATTCATTGGATATATAGATATTCACTTTTAAATACCCGTATAAGAACTTGTTTTCAGGTATATTTGTATGTACTATTTTTTTTAGAACCAATGTAATTGACAAGACCAGTGGTCCAAAGAATTGAATGCTTCTAAACTGTCAATATTGGCGATTTTGAACAATTAATGTTGTGTGCATGAGCATCAGATGTCTCAATCCTCGTGTCGGGGAAGTTCAATCTGAAGGGTATCATGTAATAAAGAGACAACGTTTTCAGGCTTTTATCTTATGAAGTTCTACTCTTCTTTTTCTTCGTCTTCTTATTTTTTTAATATAATAAATCTCAAGTATTTACAATCTTCTTCCGAATTGTTTTCTTCCCAGAGAGTGCCCAGAAGAGTGCAGGGAGCCTGTGGCTTCTCTGATGTTTGCAGCAGCAAGATTTTCTGATTTGCCTGAATTGCGAGATCTCAGGAATCTATTTCAGGAGAGATATGGAAGTACTCTAGAATGTTTTGTTAATCAAAAGGTTATTCTCGGCAATTAGTTGGGACGTTTTAGTTTCAGAGCTCTAGTTTTGTGCCTGACAGCTTGATTTCTGAATGATATAGTTTGTTGAGATATTGTCTTCAAAGCCTCCTGCCATGGAGAAGAGACTCCAGTTACTGAAAGATATAGCATCAGAGTTTTCAATAAATTGGAATTCTGGGGGCTTTGAGCAGAGGATGGCTGATCCACCTACACTAGTACAGGTATGTCACTCATTGAAATGAGATGGGGAAGAAAGACTTAAAATGTTAATTCTTTTAAAAGCAGCATCCTACCTAGCAGGGAAAACTAAATGAATGGGCTTTCTTTCTTTATTTTTGTTTTCCACAAAATTTGGTATCCCGCTACATCTTCCAAAGAAGGATGAAAGAAAGACAATTATATATAAACTGATTGTGTTTTCTGTGGCTGATGTCTTCCAGGCCAAACCAAATAAACATGGAAACTTCCCTGTTGCTGCTGAAGAACTTAATCTTCTTAATGGCAATGGAAATGTTGCAAAATCTGATGGACATGATGTTTCACTTAAAGAAACACATGATCATACTAATGGTGGCCAGAAAATGCAGAGTGCTGGAGAGGGTAAGCGTTCAAGAAGAGAAGATGGAAGTACTAATGTTGCAAAATATGATGTTTCACCTGAAGAAAAATGTGGTCTAAGTAATGATGGCCAGAGAATGCACAACCGCAGGGGTACTAAGGAATCAGAAAGGGGAGATGGACATGGAGTTGTAGCAAAATATGATAGGTATGATGTTTTACCTGAAAAAACACGTGCTCTTAGTCATGGTAGCCATAGAATTCATAAATACAGAGAGGATACAGATTCAAGAAGAGAAGGTGTTGCTGTTGCTGTTGCAACATCTGATGGGTATGATGTTTCACCTAAAGACCCACGTGGTCTAATTAATGATGGGCACGGAATGCGCAATGGTAGAGAGGATAAGGATTCAAGAGAACAGTTGAACCTCCATTTCAGAGGAAGGTTGGGAAGTGGCACTGATAGACACATATCACCAACCAAGAAAGGAGAGAGTACTCCAAGACAAGTCAGAAATGACCTTTTATTTGAGCGAAGGCAAGAAGTGATGGTGGACAAACATGAATTATCATGGAAAAAGGATGAAACTTTGTTCAAAGCTGTAAAAGCAGGCACTTCATCACGTAGGAAAGGGCTAGACGATTTCAGTGGTGGATATTCAGGTCAGGATGATGGTTCCACTAGTATGCATGATGGGGAGAGCTCGGATGCTCCATCTCATGGAAAATCAGAAATGCGTTCAAGTTGTGGGGGATTTCCAGGAAGGAATGAGGATATGTCAGTTGCCCATGAGCAAGTCAGGGAGAAGAATATGGCAAACTCAAAGAGAAAAGTTCAACAGGAAGATGTAGACAGTTCAAAATCCTACCAGAATGCTCTACTTCCTCCACCGTACATAAAATCAAAGAGCAACCTCATCCCTCCATATGTTAAACCTAAAGACCATAAAAACAGACCTAGTAGAAAGTCTGAGCTAGCAGGTCCTTGCAGTGATGGGCATTCTACAGAACCTTCAGAGAATGGATCTAACAGGATTCAGATGGGGCCATATAATCCTGGCCATGAGGGACAAAATATTGGGCCTGGCAGAGTAAGAAGTCAACGTCATCGCGAAGATCAATATTATCAGGATGATAAAATAGCCTTGCCAAAACCAAGATCAATTAGGAGGAAGCAACACAAATCATCTTCCAATCATGATGACATGGCTCATGTTGAAGATGCTGTAGCTGTAAAAAGAAGTTCCAGTAGCAGGAGAAGGGACAGTTCGCGAAAGGGCTTGCAGATTTTGTTTGATGATGAGCATTCTCAAAAAGATGAAGAAGAGAGAATGATTGATAAACTTTTGCTACATTACAGTAAGAAACCATCAACCTATGGCGGTGGAAATATGAGAAAAGGCTCTCAAGCACATCCATCTCATCAGATAAGTAATGGTAGTGGTGAATCTTCTCATGATCGAATGAGAGATGGGCATGATTCGAACGCAGATGTCATACCAACCACCACTAGATCTATATCTTTGCCTCGTCAAGAAACGACTCAATCAGAGGCCAAAAAGGTTTTTACCCGTGCAAAGTCCTTTCATCCAGATGGCCAGGCTCGGCATGTGCATCCCAAGTTACCTGATTATGATGATTTGGCTGCTCGCTTTGCTGCACTGAAAGGCCGATAAAGAGCAACGGCTTTTGAAACACGCGAAATTGTTTGTGTTTACATCTCTATCTTTTATATCCATCTTCCCGCTGCCTACAACTGGCTTACTTCCAGGCTCGTTAGCTGCAATAGTTGGAGAAACCGAATTCATTGCTCAACCCTGATTGATTCCTCTTACTTATACTAAAGGTACAAGTACTTGCTCATTCTTGGTGCTGCCTCATTTTTCTATTAGTTCATCGCATGAGATGTTATACAGATTTGTGTCTAAAGTTGGTGCTGTGCCTGGTTGTAAGATTGTATCCATCTGATTTTCCCGATATGATGTGTTGGACGGAGACTAAGATGGAGCTTATTAGTTAATTCCTTCTTTTAGGCATCTACTGATCCTTGGTGTTTCAACTTATACCGCATAATTGATATGTTTAATATAGTCACTGTCTAGTACAGTTGTTTACATATCCAATACTTTGTTCCGGAGGTGTAGTGCGAGTGGGCTGTAGAAAGAGGGATGTTCACAAAGAAGGAAAAATGTTCGTTGCCCCAAATAGATCTCTTAATTGGTTGGTAGGAAATTAGTTCTTTTTGCTGGGAAGTTGTACGCCGTTCTTTTGTCACGTTCCCTAGCTGACCATGATGACGAGCTAGAACTTCCAAGTGCAGCAAGGCTGGCATGGTAGGGTGATTCTCGCATGGAAAATGAATAGGTTTTGTTATGGATCTGCGCTCGTAAGCCATTTCATAAGATATTTGGATTCCATAAGTGGGATTTGCCTGAGGCCCATTTTTTAATAACATACTGCTTCAGTTAACCTGATTATACCAGAATTTGAAAGTGAAAATTGTATTAATGGACAATTTAGTGTGTTTGGATAGCACGCACTTGTTCAAAAGTTATTTTCTTGCATCATAAATCCATCTTCTAATACACATTTTTATGTTTATAATAATTTTTTTATCTCACATATGTCATATCACCACTACTTCTACAGAAAAAAAATGAAAATCCTATTCAAAATTCCCAGCAAAGATTCCCAATTCCTTGTCACGAGCCCAAAGGCCACAGGTCAAGACTAAAATATGCTCAAAAAGGTGAATGGAGTAAAATAAGTTAAAGACCGAAGACAGCTTTGCCCGCCAAAATCTTTTGTCACCGTCAATGGTTCCAACAGCCCATTTATTAATTATTACAGTGCCATTCTCATTTCCTAACTTACGCGCACACAGACACAGAGTCACAGACTTGAACGCACACAGACACTCGGGGAAAAGAGATGAAGGGTACTTCCCAGGTAATAATGGGAGCAACACTAATTGTGGTTGTGAGCATTGGCATAGTACTAGGACTGGTCTTGGTCCTGTTGGCTCAGCTCTACTGCTCTCTTTTACTCCGCCGCAGACGGCCACTGCGAGCTTCCACTTCCAACATTCCCAACTCCAGAGCTGCCGCCACCTCTAATGATGGCTCCCCGGAACATGATCAGGACCTTTCGGGAACTCCATCTCTCAGTGCCTTCTATGCTCATGGCGTTCTGCATGCTCCAAGAAACTTCCTCTTCCCCGCAGTTTATGGCAACGAAAGCAATGAGGACCTCGAGAAGCAACGTGATTCTCAGATTCCTAATCAACAACCGACCTCTAGCCCTAATGAACTACACCGGCATGTCTTTTCTCTACCATCATCGCCTTCCTTTGTACCCCTGGCACCACCAAGACTCATTCATGAGGCACCTCTTGACAGTACAAGCACTCGCAACGATGAATTTTGTGGTGGGAGCAGCAAGGAAACTTATATATACATAAGCAATCCGATTTATGACAATGTTGGCAACAGGCCTAGCAGGGTGGCTACCCCATTTGAGACGCCTGATTCATCACCGTCTCGTCTAGACACCAACTGTTCTTCTGGAGAAGATGATAACGATAATGCTAAATCGACGACTGCGTCTAGTCCTTCCTCACTTCCAATGACCCCTCCATTATCTCCGATAAAAAAGCTTCCAGCTCAGGCATGTTCAATTTCTTTGAGGGACGCTCGTTCCCTTGCCACCTCCGGTAGTGATTCCAATAATGAGGGCATTTCGTCTTCATCAACTTCAGGGTCACCGTGTACTTCTCCTTCGTGGTAAAAATTTAGGTATCCGAATTCCCACGTTAGTTTTCCAGGTTAGTTTTTTCTACTGTTCACTATGTAGCTTTGGTCCCTTTCTTTCTCTTTTCGTCAGTGTTTACTTTGTTTAATGGAAACTTGTTATTGAATGAAAAAGATGAAAAAGGTACTCTTAAAAAGAGAAATCTGAGCCCTTATTCAGGCGAACGCTTTTGCCTCTAGGCTTGACCATGGCTCTTTTGCCGAGGCCACGCTTATATCCTAATCCAGAGTTGCCTTGCGAGTGTCCATCTCTTCGTCTAATAAGTACAGTTTTTGTTTTGTCTTGCCTACTTGTGTATATTTTCAAGAGGCAATCTTTTGTTTTACATAATCCAAGTACATTTCTACTGGCTTTGGAAGGAGACACCGAGCGCTTAATTCATCTTGTACTTGTGGGGATTGTAATGATGCACGTGAAATGATCGGTGGACCAAAGAACAGGCAACAAAATCCCTGTTTTTGATAAAACATCGTGTGCCGATTCCTATGAATTTGTGCCAATGTTGTATATGCGGGCTTTTGTCCACTTTGATGAGGATGCCTCTTGCCGTTAATCTCTAGGTATAGCACACCAGGCCCCAAGAAAAGTAGAAGCTTCATTGCCTGAGAGCACGAGAACTGATATATTTTTTTTTTTGAGTCCGAGGGCAGGGACTTTGGCCCTATGTTCTGTTGGATTCGAAAGATTTTGTTCCCCATGTAGCGATGAGATGTCTTTTAGATGAATTTCATGCATGTTGCTAGCTCTGCTAAACTCAAATTAGTGCTTCGATTGGTATACTTTCTTTTCGTTTCCTTTTTCTTTAATTTTTCCTTTTCTTTCAGTACGTTTTGCTCTTTGTCGAACTGGGTGCTTGACCCAATCTGCAGGGAGTGACTTGTAATCCTCGATAAGAGGCCCTGTTTTGTTCTTTGCACATGTAAGACTAAAGATCGTTGCAAGGAAGGGCAAATAATGCCCATTCACAAGATGAGAAAAGGGCCATCATAACTAGGCAGAAAACTTTGATTAATTAAGAAAAATGGGAGAGGTCATAGGAAATGTCCAATTCTCTGTTACAATTTATTCTCTTGTTTATTATTGAAACCTGGCTCTAATATCATCCATCATATTCACCGAAGATTAGTGCTCGACTTGGAAATTAATGTTATGCGCACAAGTATACAAAGCATCCAAAGCAATCAAAGAATTTGTAGCTTTCAAAAGTAACACATGAAGATGCAGGAACAACCCCCCCCCCCCTCCCCCCTCTTCTCTCTTCCTCTTCTGTCCCTTTTATCTCCTCAGGAAACAATGGTATTGGACAGCAGTTATGCACCACGATGCTATAAAATAGCTCATTCACATTCTGTGCAGTTTTTGCTGAAGTTTCAAAGAATAGCAAGCCATTTTCTCTAGCATAATGCTCCCCTTCCTGAAGGTTATTAACGAATGGGAGAACTTTCATTCAGTTTAAAATCAAGGAAAGGGCTTTGAGGGTGTGTGAAGAAGAGGGAGGAAAACGTATCAGATAGAAAAGCATGCTTAATAGACGGACAACAAATGTCTAAATAACTATACCAACAATCATCATGAAGCTTGAGTAAAATGTTCTAACCAAAGAAAGAAAGGAAATAATAATAATAATAATCATAATAGGACTTTTGGATGCTATCCATGTCTACTTGAAATGAAGTGAAGCTATTGATTGGAAAACCAACTACAAGTACCTCATTTTCCACCGTTCTGTCTGAACTTAAGTCGGCCTTGTTTGCCACCAAAGCCACAATCATATTGGAATTTCCTACAAAAGTATATGATGAGTTATGATGAAAGAACTTTCAACAATCAAAAACATGCAATAATACCAAATGTAAAGCAATTAGATTCCAAACTGCTTCATATACTATTCAGTTTTGTAATGCAGACTGCTTTCACGAAATTCAAATACTGTTCGATTCGTTTCTTTGCAAAACATATTGTCAGTAAAGGTAAATAAGTTTACAAGGCTGGACAAATTAACGAAATAAAAAAGTGATGAAAGATTGATTCTGACAAACGGGGCTATGTCTCAGGGTTAAATCGTCCTCTCTTTTGATGAGTAGCAATTTTGTGCTGATACGTAATAGTTATAGTTAGGCGTTCCTGAGCCTTCCCACTCCAAATGCTAGCTCAAGAGGTAAGGTATTTCCCTCAACACTTGCACACCTGCACCTAGTCCTTCCACAACCAATGCAGAATAAACGCAGTAGTTTTGTACTCTCTTCCTTTCCCGGGTTTTCTTTCAGCCAAAAGGGAAACTCATCGTCGGTATAAGTTCCAATTTCTTGTCAAGAAAAGAATAAAAGCAACAGGAGAAAGGTTTGGAGATGATCTTACCGTGTCGCTGCAGTTGTTGAACCCACTTTTTGGCCCGTTCAAATGAATCCTGAAGCCACAATTTCAGCAGACGTCAGTCTAAATAGTAATTGCTAGCCAGTGATGTTATCAATTATATTCAGATTAAATTCCCACTGGTTCCCTCGTGTTCTTTTCAACTTTATGATCCCCTCCTCTTCTCTTCGGAAACAAAAGGGAAAATCCCATTAACTTTGACAATGTCAGTGCTAGTTAAAATTGCATCACCTTTGATAATATCAGTACTTGTTCTTCTCCATAAGTGCAATCAATAACAGAAAAAGGGTAAAAAAAAGTGAGTGCCAATACCGCGTTTGTGATATCATAAACTATAACAGCAGCAGCTGCACCTCGATAGTACATTGGAGCTAAACTATGATAACGTTCCTGTCCTGCTGTGTCCCATATATCAAATTTTATGGTAGCTTCGTTGAGTGACAAGACTTGAGTAAAGAAGGCTGCTCCAATGGTTGATTCCTGAACGTCATGGTTAAAAGCTCACTCAATGGCGTCAAAAGACATAGTTAAAATAAAGAATGAGATAAAGCATAATTGAATGAAGTGTACCTCAAAATCATGGAACTGGCCTTTGACAAATCTTAATGCTAAACTGGTCTTCCCAGTCCCCATGTCCCCAAGAAGCACCTAAAACAAGGGATGAATAGGTTAATTCTGCAGCATACCTAGTCAATTAAGTATACAACAAGTTTTCTTATTGTGCACTGCAGAAGACCATGCTGAAGTAGGGAATTGCTCGGGCAAATCATGACCAGACGAACTAAAATTACAGTAGATAATCAAAAGCAGAAAACCAGAGGGATCGCAATACACATAGTAAAAGCAATTGAAATTTCAGAACTTCAGTGAATAAAATTCGTGAAAATTTCAAACTCCGGGAGGTAGGTATAAGAAGAGTTTTAGCGATCATCCCAGAAACATCCAGCAAAGAAACCTAATAAGATTACCGCTGTATTTGAAACATGAACTGCATGCAAGTATGAGAGCAAGAAGAATCCCGTACTAGCAGTAAAAGAGAAAGGGAAGACATACCCACCAGCTTGGATTGTATATTCTTGTTCCCCGTTGGAGCCATCAACTCGGTTAATTCCACCACCGGAAGAACTTAGTTTACAACAAAAGAACAGAGGAATCAATCAGGAGAGGAAGAGTTACACTAGCAATCCTTGTACAGCAGTATATTCTTCTGGGGGGGCGATAACCAAAAGTCTAAGATTGGTTAAAGAAACCACGGATTTTGCTTAACATCTAAGTAGTCGAGCTAGCCAGAAGGAAGCACAACGCTAGAAAACCACCCCTGTCCCTATTAGTAAAATTGAAAAGACAGAACGTTAGGTAATGAAGCTCTGTCGTTGACTGGTAGGTTTTGCTGATTTTGGTTTGCTTAGCTGGAGGCCACGTCATCAGGGCTCCTTGTTCTTCTCTATCACGTAGGTAGCAAAAGGACATGGTGGTATTCAAGATTTGTTGTATCATGCGCCAGCGTGCAAGATGAATTCCTTGATTTTGGTTAATCAGATTTTGATTTAATAATCAAGGTAGAAGTTTCATAAGAGCTTTGTATTTTATATATACTTTTTTGTGCTAGGAAGGGTCATAAACCCGACCGCCTTACTTTGCGGCACCTGCCGACATGTGGAGACCCCCGAAGTTTCTTGACTTTTGAGGTTCAGAACTTGGCATATGACCAAATTCTCAGTTTTGCACCTGTCCAATAACTTGTGCACTGCAGATTATAAAAAGAAGAAGAAAAAAGTTGTACCACACACACTAGTGTAGCTAGTGTGTGGGCTCACATTAATTAAAAGAAAGAGATGTAACATAACCTCGAATTAATTTGTTAAGAATATTCTACAAATTGAGAAAATTATCTGAATGACGTTGACCGCAACCTCGAAAAATGACGGGATCGAGTAGTTTCTAAAATCCCTTTCTTTCAAATTATTTTTTTTTCCCATTTCTTTTGTTGTCTTGTGTGATTAGTGAACATATGCATTATGGTTTCACTTTCACACAGTTAGAGTGAACCTCAAAGTCAAGTGATAATTACGGGTTGAAATCGTTAATTACGTTTAGCATCATCTCCTTTCGAATGGTCGCCCGCTGGGAGATGTAATCTGAAGAAATCGTTAATAGAAGAAAGAAATCGTCTGCTACTCTTATGGCTCTATACAAACCCCTGGTGAATGTATAAACACTCGTGGTCTTTTTAACGAAAAGATTTGGCAATGATCCATTGATTAACGTGATATTTAGGGGTGGAAACCAATTTAATTAAAACCAAACATCTATTCAAAATTGTGTGATTATTGTAACAAACTTGATTTTGTGTTCAAACTTATTAATTTGTTTATTTGTCAAGCCAGACTCAAACGAATTTTTATCCAATTGAACTTGCGTCGGGGCATTCGACTACTTTAAAATCATTACAATTAAATTTTAATACTAAACAAGCTAAGTTCAAAATCAAATTTCAAAATTTATCAAATAAAAAATACTATTTAAATTTGACTTAACTAATTGATAAATCATTCAAACAAATCAAATTCAATTCGAATACGAGGGAGTTTAATTCATCTTTCACACCTCTGACCATATCTACATAATTCGTCTGAAATCTGAATTTTCACGTAGGCCAGATTTGTTTGCTAGAAGAAACGCGTGGAGGTGACGGACAATCTACTAGTGCGAACTGTGGACTGTTGCTCATTCTGGTAATAGACAGAGTAGTATTGAATAACTATTACCCCTGGAGTTGATAATAGAGTACTAGTCTTTGTTGATAGAGACAGGATCATAGAATCTAATACGTGTTCGCAGATCCAAACATGATGTCCCAGACGGAACATCATCTCTTCATGGACCCATCTCCCCATTGCATTCCCACGTGCTTGCTTGGATTTTGTTCCGTGCCTTATAGTTACAGCTGGTGTGTTAATTAAGCCCAACCATGGTTAGTAGCTAATACTACTAGTTTGTGGGCTAAATTAAAATTACTTCACTAAACTTTCAATGTTCGTTAGTCTTATCCTATCCTAACCACAATTAGGTGTCACCTGTATTTCAAAGGGTCACATCCGATGGGAAGTAGAACGGAAAATATGCTAGAATTACCCATTGCACTCACAATTCGCAAATTACTCCGATGCCCTCCATATAATTGGCAGAAACGGGGTCTTGTTTGGAAGCCAAATTTTTTGTCAAGTTTATTTGTTATAATTTTTTTAAAAATTAACTACAATAATCTTAAAAAACTTTTTAAAACTTTAAACTATACACTTCAAAATATTTAAAAAAAAACACACTTCAAAAATTTTTTTAAAAACTTCTACATAAATTACAGTAAAATTTTAGATAAACACCTAAAAAATTCATCTTTCAAACAGGGCTGGGGTTTTCAAACGAGGCTGGGGTTTATGCAGTGCACTCGAATGCGAATTCTTTTATTAATTAAAAAAAAATCCACAGAGTGCTTTACTCAGCGAACCCTTTGCTTTGGCAAAAACAAATCGAATATGCACTCGCTCCAAAGAAATTTACCTAATTAATAATCAATGCACAAAAGTGCCTCTCGGCTGAGAGATTAGCATGACTCTTTCTATCTCTATGGACCACTTAACTCAACGTCCCGTGTCCCAACTATCTTTGGGCAATTTATGCAGGGAGTGACAAGAATATTGGCAGTTTCGCGATACGATGAGATGGGGTCATCTGACAAGTACCAGTCGAGAGCACGCGGGGCTGGAGCGATTGTCAGAACAATCGTTCCGGAAGGTGTGACACCATTTGTATATAGTGTAACATCATCTGTACAAGATGTAACAATTGAACAATAGCGAGTAAAATAAAACAACATTTTTGTGAGTTCCACACGGCGTGAAAATCGAGTTACAAGACGTGATTTGAGCCGCACAAATTTTTGAGACCTCATCCAGGCCGTGAACTGCCTGGGACGATTAGGCAACCGTCCAGGCCCCTCGTCCCAGTCGAGAGGGACGAGGGGCCTGGACGGTTGTCATTCACGGCCTGGGACGATTAGGCAACCGTCCAGGCCCCTCGTCCCAGTCGAGAGGGACGAGGGGCCTGGACGGTTGTCTCTGACAACCGTCCCAGGCAATTCACGGCCTGGATGAGGCTTCAAAAATTTGTGCGGCTCAGATCACGTCTTGTAACTCGATTTTCACGCCGTGTGGGACCCACAAAAATGTTGTTCTAATGTTATTCGCTGTTGTTCTATTGTTACACCTTGTACAGATAATGTTATACCATGTACAAATGATGTTACACCTTTCGAAGCGGTTGTTCTGACAATCGCTCCAGCCCCGCGTCCATTCGAGAGGGGCTGCACTGTAGGCTGCAGCTCCATTCCCGTTCCCAGGGATGGGAAGAACGTTTGAAGACCAGTAGTCTAGTTCTGCGCACAAAAAGCCAAGAATGAAATCAACAGTAGCCCCTCCCTAGAAATGCAGACCAATCAAGGAAAGTAAAACGATAACGAATTTTGAGGAGGTAAAGTGGAAAATCCACTAAAGAGAGAAAAAAAAATGAGAAATTGATAAATAAAAGGAAAATCCACTAAAGAGAGAAAAAAAAATGAGAAATTGATAAATAAAAGAAGAAAAAGTAAGGAGAAAAGGGCCACACCATAATAACACTTGATGATCTCACACTTGATGAAGATAATTCCTTTTTGTTAGTATTCTATTTTTTTTTTTCCTCCACCCACAAAACCAAAAGGGGATAAACCTTTTTTATATTTGAGAATCAGATCTCCTCTTCTTATATCATATGCACCACAACAAGACTCTCTTGCCATATCATATGGTTTTCTTCCATTCTCTCTCTCTCTCTGGTAGTAATTAAATGGCCTCCTCCCACCACCCCCGCGGCCCAGCTGGCGGTGGCATTACGGTGGAAACCACAACATCCCCCAAGAGTGCCAACGGCCAGAATTCTTCGTCTCCAAAAGGGCAGCAGCAGCAGCAGCAGCAGCAGTGTCTCTGCTCGCCCACGACTCATCAGGGATCGTTCAGGTGCAGGTTTCACCGCTCCAATTCTACTGCCTATTTCAAGAGATCAAAGTCCATGCCTGTCCATAACAACAGCCCTTCTCTTTCTCCCAAATCGGTTGAATCCACATGATCAGGGAGCCCTTGTACTAGTATTAAGTCCTCAATCAATTAATTGCCTCCTTGTGTGATGATGCCTCTGTTTTTGCATAAACTTCTTGGCAATTTCATGAAAAAAAGGGGCAATATTATATAACTGCTGCTTTTTCATGGAGCCAGCCAGCATATATATATATATATATATATGTGTGTGTGTGTGTGTGTGTATGACTTTTCTTGTATATTCTTACGTCTAAGATTGTTGATCAACCGGCAAATATTACCCTGGCTGCCTTTTTACATCCTCGTTTCAGTTTATATTTTTCGCAATCTCAGGCATGGTTATTATATAGCACAATCAGTTTTAATATGGATCCTGGATTTCTGCATGACTGCAATCTCCGTGGAGTCAGATGTTAAAGGTAGAGTACTAGATGCACGCACTTGGGATCCACCTGCCAGTTTGGTTGTGTAAAGCACGATGGATTGGATTTTGTCCTTTATGTTACTATTAACCTCGATGGATTCAGATCCTCTCCGCTGTGCCTCCCCCCATAACTCGACGACAAGCGGCTTCCTTCGGCTTCGGCTGAAGAGAAATTTCATTATTTAGCTGTCATCGCACACCCATAATTGCATTAGTTGTCTTTCTCGTTTCCATCTAACTTTTGATGATTATTTTAAAACGGAAAATTCTAACGCAAAGGAGCCATCGACGAAGAAACCTCTTTACAAGTTGGAATTGCCTCCTTTTCTATCTTTAGTACGAGAATTATCTCCAGGAGGATAACCTTTTTATCAATACACAGAAGACTACTAGTAAGTATTATCATCATCACATAATATGGATGCCACCATCCAGCACTTAACCAGCTCCCCTTCTAAACGATGAGATTAATGCGCCGTGAAAAAGGCCAACGGGGTAAAAATTAAAAAAAAAAAAAAATTTCTAGAGCAGGATCAGGATAACGATAATGATGGCATGGCAGCCGGTACAAATAAATAATAACTATTGGACCTAAAATTCACTTGGCAATATTCTATTTTTATTGATAAATGAATTGAGCGAGTGGTTCCACTTCCATCAGGTGGGTAAGGGTAACGGTAGGTCTGGGAACTTTTTAATTCATCTCTACGTTTTTCCCCCTGGCCATGTTATGTTAATGATTCAAAGATATCCCACAGGGTTGGTTCGAGTTTCTTAAGC